ACCTGGCCTAAACAATAGCTCACCTTGCAAATCAGTTTTTGTCTGTTTTTATCTATCTATTTATTTATTTATTTATTTTTCTATTTTATCAGTTTTTATCAGTTTTTATCAATTTTGTCAGTTTTCCCCAGTTTCTACCCCCCGGCTTGGTTCTATCAGTAAGAAATTGTACCGGCCTCTTCAAAAGCGGTCATACAGTCACAGACCACACGAATACAAACAGAACAACTAGCAAAAAACAGAAAATTCCGCCAGACTTGCCGGTGGAATAGGAACCGGACTGATGCTCCCCAGAATGGAAAAGGAGCCGGAACCGTAAGGTTCTGCTTAAAAAAAAAAAAAAAAAAAAAAAAAAAAAAAAACAAAAAAAAACACAGTAAAGCAACTGTTCCCTACCAATATTGTACATTACGCTACACTATACTAAACAGAACCCAGTGAACAGACTATTAATGTACATTTCCCCTACGATTTCTATCCTCTCTCTAGGAGCGGGCCAAATTTCCACTTCGCCTCCTCTCCATCTTGGCGCACCAGGGCCGGGTATCTCCCCCAGATGTGCCAAAACTTCCCCCATCCTCTGGTCGGCGATCTGTGACATCGGGAGATTTCAGCCATGATTGCAATCCGGAGCCCTTCCTTGACTTCTTCTTCTTTTTTTTTTTTTTTTTTTTTTTTTTTTAAACACCCCTACCGGTGATAGTGGTGCTGATAAGAGCAGACACCACTACCAGCCCTTCCTTCACTTGATTTTTAAGATCCACGATCTTTCTCAACTTACGCCTAATCCTAAGTTCCTGCCTCTGATAATCCATACGTGAAGCAATTGCTTCTGTAGTTTTTGTATTTCCTTAGCCATAGTTTCATTATTTTCCATATCATCTGTTTCATCTTCTGGGAGTTGAAGTTGTTTAGTCCGTCTCCATAGTCCCCATAGTCTCCATAGTCTCCATAGTCTCCATAGTCTCCATATCTTCTTATCAAGGTGGTTACTTTCACTACCTCATGAGCTCTCTTATAGATGGAGAGTTGAAACTTGAAAGGCACACAACTTGCCAAGGACCTGAGTCCAAGGGGCTTCCAGTCCATAGCAAACCCTAAACCCTAAACCCGAAACCAGCAAAGTACCAACATCGGTTTCAGACCAAAACTTGGTGGCCGTAACCTTTAGAAGCTGAAGCTCTCTCAGTGATTCCTGAATTAACCATCGCAGCTCACGTCCTGCCAATCTATGGGCCTCCTTGGTGAATCATGTAAGAGCAGTTGTCCCCCCTGGAGGCAGATTATTTTTGATGAACCTCTTTATCTCATGCTTGATGAGGGGTTCCCCTGCTCTCCTCGTGATTGAGGAAAGGGAGAGGAAGGACGAGGTGGTACCTAAAACTGTTACTTCTCCATACACAGCCCCGGCCCCCTGGAGGTTCGGATAGACCGACCTCCCACATACATACCCTCTTTGAGTCTGACCGGGAGAACCACTATTCCTGTTCTTTTGTCGCAGAGAGTTCACCCTTCCCTTTGACTAAGCGACGCTTTAATTTCCGTCTTTTACTCGTCAGTTCAATTTCCAGAGATGGGGGGTACATTGCAACCCAGTTGGGACTGCCAACAGTGTCTTGCCCTCCGTCCTGTTTCTGATTTTTGGCAGGTCTTCCGTAAGGTCCACCACATCTCTTGTCATACCTGAAGCGTTTTGTGATTGGCTCCCCTCCTGTCTCTGTTTTGCAGGGCTTTCCTTCCCTCACTCCCTCCTAGCTGAAACTTGTTACCCTTTTTTTTTTTTTTTTTTTTTTTTTTTTTTTTTGGAATGCGTGAAAATGACTGAGATTGTATGTGGGTTTCCTGAGGCTGTTACCCTGCTGCTTATATACCCCTAACTGCCCCTCTTCCTGAACACCATCCTCGTCTTGATACTCTGTAGAGCCCAGGCCCTCCTTCCCGCCATTCTGTGCTCTCTTCTTCATTGTCAGCCCCTGAGTTTCTTCACCATGATTTTTTCCTTTTGGCAGTTGCAGCATTTGTTCCTCCCCCATAGACAATATACTCAGTGACTGTGTCCCCTGTTCCTTCTCAGCACCATTCTTTTCTTTATTAACAAAAAAAAAAAAAAAAAGATGGTGTCTGTATTGATCTTTCCTCAGTTTCCTGGTTGTCCATCTGTCTGACCCCTTGCCGGTTAGAAAATCCCGGTCTATCTACGCAGGGGCTGATGGCGAAGAAGAGACCATAAAATGGATGGAACCACCGCAAGGACCGGGGGGAAAAGGACAGCCTGGGCTCTACAGAGAATCAAGAAGAGGATGGTGTTCAGGAAGAGCGGCAGTTAGTGGTACAAGATGGTTGGTGTCTGTATTGAAGCACCAGTACTTCCTAAAGTCGTGCCTGTCAACAAGTCACGATTTTAGGAAACGTACGGGCCAGTACAGGAGCGCCCAAATTCATCCGACTAGAAACGTTTCTACTCTATTTCTTTCGGTGGCCAATAGCTGGGCCAAGTACTGGTGGTTTAGGTACATTCAGAATGTTGGGCTCGTCCGAATGCACGTGGCCCTGAAAGTGTCCAGGTGCATGTAGCGTGATGTGCAGTGGAGGGGGGCCCTAAGATCAAGACTTAATGTAGTATCTGTTCTGGTCAGTTTAATATCTGAATAAACAAAATACAAAAAGATTCATTGTCATTTTGCAAAGGAGACAATAAAGCTATGTTCGCAGGGGTCCCCTGTATAAGCCTTAGGAGTAGTGGTAGGTAGGTACTAGGTAGTGAAGGTGAATTGAAAGCATTAAACCACCAGTACTTCCTAAAGTCGTGCCCTTTAATGCGCCACAATTTTAGGTAACGAACGGGCCACTACAGGAGCGCCCAAATTCATCCAACTAGAAACGTTTGTATTCTATTTTTTTTCCGTGGCCCATAGCTGGGCCAAGTACAGGTGGTTTAAAAGAAAAAGACAGCAAATTTCGTGATTAGTGCAGAGGCCCACACAAGCGGTTAACAGGGGCGTCCACTTTTCAGACCCAGGTTAAAACCCCCCCAGCACTGAAAACAGTGAAAAGTGCATTTGGGGACATTTTTTTTCAGGTTTTTTTCTTTTCTTTTTTGGCCCTGTTTTATTTTTGGTCAAGGTCTGCGTGTGCCAACTTTGGTGTTTGTTGGGGTCTTGGAGATGACTATTTTGGTCAGTCCTGATTTTTTTTAGTTTTATTGTTTTAAATAAACACAAGCTCCAATCTACTCGTGGGGAGCAGCACGTGCTGGGAAACGAGCCCAGGAAATGGGCCCAGGAAACGGGCCCAGCGTCCCTTATGATGAGATTACAATAATGATGATTAATGATGATTTGGATGATTACCAATGTATAGAAGCTATTTCCAGCAGGTGCTGCTCCCCACCAATAGATGGAGCCTTGAATGCTGGGGCCCACTTAACGAGGCTGCTCCTATCACCCCGTTAAGTGGTTTCCCCACAAATGAAGTTAAAAAAAAAAAAAAAAAAGAAGCGTTACCTTAATTACCTAGCTTCGATTGAGAAAATATGACCAGCACAGAACTCTACATCTATCTGACCCCTGATTCCAGGCATCCTTGTGAACTCAACCAAATCCAAACCCAGCTATGCTGTTCACTCATCCAGGCGGCCCAGGCCTTTTTTTTTTTTTTTTTTTTTTTTTTCCAGTGCACCGATGTGGCCCATGCGTCAACTCAGCCAGGCCTATACCCGGTCTCACACCCCCTATCAAACTAGGTTACAGGGCAGTGCGACCCGCCCCAGCTCCAACCATCGTCGACCTGACAGGCTGACAGTAGCCCCCGGTCAGTCACTGGATTTCCTTCCACCCTCAGAAATCCTCAGACCTCTTTACAACGCCTCACACCCCTGCAGACACAGGTTACAGGGCAATGCCCCAGCACTGGCTAGCGTTGTTCTGGCATCGGCTAACCTAGACCTCTAAACATACACAACTATGTCTCAATACAAGTAAGAGAATAATGACACCTGAAATCCTGATTCTGACTCCGGGGCTCGTTAGACACTCCTCGGGCGCGTAAATCCCCCGAGGAATTCATCGTTCCACTTATCCTCGGGGAAGAAATTGAAAAAAAAAAGTGAAAACATTTCCTCGGGGATTCCTCGGGCTACAGCCATTTCATCGCGTTCCCCAAGGGACCTCCCGAGGTCCCTCGGAGGTCGAGCATGCGGAAGAATCGGGGCGTCGACGACAGCTCTCTCGACGACAATTTTCGAACTCAGCTGGTCCATTGCTGTTCCTGGCGGCCTGTCGACGGACATCTTCGGTCGGCAATGTTCGGCGTCCTGGAATTGTCCGCCAACGGTCACCGTTGCCGGCCTGCCGGCCTCCACGATGTCTAGAAGGGGCTGTCTTGCATCGGTGCCCTTGGCCCCGAACGGGAAGGCGCCCAACGGTCGGCAGATTCAAATATCGGCCCCCACTCTTCCGATTGTGTGGTGTCTTCCACGACGGAATACGTTACCCTTTGTTTGTTGTTATCTGCGATAGGCCGTTTGCACCACTGTTCCTCACCGTTTCCTGGACGTCCACCATTGTCTTTTAGCTGCTGCCGTCGTCCATGTGCCTTTCATGGCCGACGTCTTTCGGAGGCTGCCGCTGCTGGTGCTGGTCGTCCTCTTGCTCGTCGTTTTAGTTGTCTTCCACGTCTGCATCCTCGGTAGCGTTCCACGACGTGCACGCAGAAGACGGCCTTTGAAGAAGGACGTCAGGATGGAGGGGCGCCAGGTGATCTGCAGGTCTGCAGGGGAGCAGGGCGGTGGCCAGCAGGCTGGGCAAACCCCGTCGAGGAGTTCAAGGTCGTCGGAGCGGTCTGGGCACTCGCACGTACCACCGCACTTGCAACCTCTGCCTAATACGTCTGATGAGGAGGCGGATGAGACACGGTCACGGACCGTGCCGCTGGGAAGTGGGTCCACCTAGGAGTGGGCGGCTACAGAGTTGTGCGGGAGCTGCGACGGCGCGTATCGGCAGTCCTACACCGAACTCCTCCAGCAGGGGCTCAGCGGAGATGAAGGCGATGGCGGCGTGAATCTGTCGTTCGGGCTCTGTAGCGGGAGGTCATCGGCCACCTCACGAATGGTTGTTGTGTGTCCTCACCCAGATGACGACGGTGGGCAAGTGATGGCTGTTGTGCGATCATCGAAGTCTCTAGCGCCGATTCGGGAGGCGTCGGGGAACAACAGGGATCCTCCGAGGCAGCAATTTCAGTCGCCGTTTGTGTCGACGGGTGCCTCCGCTCGCCCCCAATGGATGCAGTCTCTGTCTCCCCTGTCCGCCGGTTCGAGTGCGGCCCGCCGTCGTGGCAATGCGGGGAGACGGATTCTGGCTTCGACGATATTGGTGACGAACGGGACGGAAGGGAGGTGTGGGAAGAACACCAGTGGGAGCTCCAGTCGGGGCGCGAGGAATCCATAACTCGGGGGGTGCGGCGACTACGTGTGGGGAAGCACGAAAAGGAAAAGGAGGCACCAGTTCTGGACGCCGATGATCACGAGGACGATGACAACGACGGAGAAGGTGGGGAGGAGGACGAAGGCTACATTTCGTCGTCCAAGCAAAACAGCATGGGAGGCAGGGGCGGAAAGACGAAGGCGTCTGCGGCCTGCCCGCAATGGTCGTCGGGGGAAAAAAGCAGCGGGGAAGGGGAGTGATGCCGACGGGGACGATGACGCGGAAGGAGGCCGACACTTCTGGTCCGTTGACCACATTTTAGCCCTCATCAGGGCTAAACATGACCAGGATGCGCATATGCAGGGGATGGGTCATGCCTACGCTCGGATCAAGCCACAAGAATGGAAGTGGTTAGATGTGGCGCAGAGGTTGAAGAAGGTGGGCTTCGACAGAGACACAGATAAGTGTGGGAAGACGTGGGACAATTTGATGCAGCAGTTCAAGAAGGTGCATCACTTCAATGGCTTGTCCGGGGAACAGGACTTCTTCCAATTGTCGGCGAAGGAGACGACGTCCAAGGGCTTCAATTTCAACATGGATCGTGCGGTGTTTGGGGGGAGGGGTCATGGGAGGGCACAATCTCATGATGGGGGCCATTGTTGGCACAGTCCGCTTGTCATAGGGGCTACGTGACACCCTAGGCCGCGGATCCTGTGGCCTCCGCGGCGGCCAAGGAGGCCGACCGCTGGCCCGTGGTCGAGGCCACACGACCGAGTTTCTATGCGGCCGCACCAGGCCCAGGTGGGGGCGCGTGCGGGAAAACAGCACACGCGCGGCCGTCGCACGTCGGCCTCTATGGCCCTGTTCATAAAAAAACAAAAAAAAATTAAAAATTTGGGGGGGTGTTTTTTGGTATGTGACAAAAATAAATAAATAAATAGAAAAAAAATAAATATTTATTGATTGGTAGTTTTTTCGATTGATTGATTGATTGATTGATTGATTGATTGATTGATTGATTGATTGGTGGGGGAGGAGTCCTCCCTCCCCTCCCCCCGGCACACTCGCACACACACACACATATACACACACACCCGCGCACGCACACACACACACACAC